GTGTGGACGCGTTGCCGCTGTAAATCGTCGATTATGGAAATCACCGGGACCAATAACGCGGCGGTTAGGCGGCACGGATTTCCCGGGCCGTGATCCTCCCTCCTCGAATTTCATCGCGGCCATTTCAGCGTGCCCGGAGAAACCGTTTCCCATGTCGGTCCAATATCGCGGCCGACACCCGCGATGACATTGGATCGGCACGCGACCCGCTTAGTTTCCACTCGCGTCGCGCTCCACTTTTATTCAATAAGTTTCGCTTAGTTCGCGGAACAAGAGGGTTTTCATATCGTTTCCTCGTGGCCTTCCTCGCTTTTCCCGACGAAGTGCTTTTAACGGTAGAACCAGCGAGCAGTCAACATCGCCGTTCTTTCTAATTGCTGTGAAAAAATCCTTAGACCGCGCCCTTCGAGACTATTAAGTGAGCGGCGCGGCGACGGTCTTTTAATGTCTTCGTGTATTCAGCGATTCATTACTCGAGCTAACGGGTCCGTTGAAACGATTCTGGATCCCCTCTTTGACGATTAGTGAAATTGTAAAGGTATTTAACACCTTGCACTATGATTTCTTTCTCGACTATAATCGACACAACCACTTTATCGTGAAAATTTATTGGGAAAATAAGAAGTATTCAACGATTGATAATAGAAAAGTAATATTTAATTTCTGTTCAAAAAAACATAAATAACACTTAGATTTTTTAAATTCAGTTTAACATTTTCGTCACGAACGTGATACGATATTGTAGATCAAGGGGTTAAGTACAGTTAGAAGACGACTTGATGCTTAGCGAAATAGCACAGAGGCAAGAGATGATTTTCTACAGTTCTATAGTTTTGATTAGTCGTAACGGTATTGACGAACAGTAGATTAGTGATCGAGAATAGGGATTAGGAAATAAAATCAATAGAAAATTGAGAAGAAATAAAAACTGACCGATCAGTCGAATTCCTCCTGCCTAGCCATCGAGTGATCTCCTAGCAATTCATCAGTAGTTTTCTTGAGGATTATCTCGTGTTTGAATAGTATCTGGAAATATAGTATATATACTTTTAGAAAGTTATTAAGAAATTCTCAAAAATTCAGGAGTAACTGCAATCTAAAGAAGATATGCAAAAGCATTGAGAAAGGTACGTGACATGGTTATGAATATGAGGAGTTGCTACGAACCCTCGGTTCGGAGATAATCGCGTGATTTCCAGACGCGAGATAGAGAAACGTACACTAGTCCGGAAGCAATTGCCGGTGCCGGATCGTTTAATCTCCATATCTCTCTTTTGCAGAATGGTGAGCACCGTGTTGGCGATGCTCATGAAAGAAGGCTTCGACGTGAAAGCGTTAAGAGCTTTTCGAGTGTTACGACCCCTCAGGCTGGTCTCCGGAGTGCCAAGTAAGCGGATTTCCATATCAAAGCGATCCGACACCGAATCGGACGGATATCGTGATGCAACCGTCGATTTGTATCCGCGAGGACACGCGGAAATGGGGAACTGACGCGACCCGATACGACGGGATGCCGGCCCAGAGTTCACCGGGTTTCATCTACTTGATCTTGTTCGCAGGTCTTCAAGTGGTCCTAAACTCTATTTTGAGAGCGATGATACCCCTGCTACATATCGCTCTGTTGGTCCTGTTCGTCATCATTATTTACGCTATCATCGGCCTCGAGCTGTTCTCCGGGAAAATGCATAAAACGTGCAGGCACAATGTCACGGGTAAGCGAGCGAATTTTTCGAGCGTATCCATCGATTCTTGAGCATCAATTTATTGTCTTCGATAAATTTATCATGGAATAGGTTGAAATTTCTATATTATAGATTCAGCTTAAAACAGAGTTGTTATATTTGTCTTCGAGAATTTCGAACTTTTTTGAATCTTTGACTATTTTACTTCTTTCAAGTGCTCGGATATTGTTGACAACCAATTGTAATGACTGATAAATTACACATTGAGCACACCTAATTAATGTTCAGTGAGAAAAATGAATAGAAAGAAGTTGATTTTTTAATGAAATCGTGATTCAGACGAGAAATCTTTATAATTACTGATCACATGATAGCGCAAGGTGTTTAGGATGAAATATACACTGGTATGCGTTCGAGTTTGAGATCGAGACCGGGTACGTTCGTGAAGAATTCCTTGAAAAATGAAATATCGAAGAGATGTTGGCAGGCGGCTGCCACGCCGCGCCGCGGGAGTTCCCGGTTTAACCCCGAAACACACTTTGCACTGGCGCTATTTTAGATATGATTCAGCCACGGCGACAACTAACGTCTAATTATTCTTAGCGCGGGGAACGCGAGCTGCGTGGTCGGCCGCGATCGACTGTCCCACGCTAAACAGCTGATTCACGGGAATCCGCGAATCGGTTTCCCGCAGTTGGCCATGAGCGAAATGCGCAGGTTTAGCAGCTTAATCGGCCACCTGACAGGTCCGGATTGTTGGGTTCCTCGGACCCAACGACTACCGGTTCGAATACTTACATTTCAAACTTCCAAGGAAATTCAATTTGTAAAATACAAATATTAAACCCATAACAGAAAATTCTCTTGCACTATTTTCTTTATGTGTTTCAAAATTTAAAGATGCCAATCGCATTTAAGATTAACAATTAAGTACCTATTTCCTAAGAACTCTTTCAATAAAAATTGCGATCCGATTCAGCAAACCATCCTAAGTAACCCAACTTTTTTTAGGACTGCTATCTAATAGATCTACAGTAGATAAAGCGTTAATTCGCACGTCTCAATATTTTCTTAAAAAATGTTCACTTCTTGTTTCCCGTTTTTCATTGATAAAAAATGACTACACGTACTTTATACATTGTTTCGAGAATGAAAAGTGACGATATGTTGTTGGAAGGAGAGTTCGCTTTTACGAGTCGCCATTTTGTCGCGCTGCCCTTTCGGCAGGCAACCGTTCTAACGTCGTTGATCGGTTGGTCGGTGTTCGCAGACGCAATGATGGAAGGACCAGTTCCGTGCGGACCAGGCGGCTTCCAATGCGTCAACGTGGGACCCGAGTACTATTGCAGCAAACAATTTTGGGAGGGTCCGAACTGGGGTATCACGAACTTCGACAACTTCGGCTTGGCCATGTTGACGGTCTTCCAGTGCGTTACGCTCGAGGGCTGGACGGACGTACTCTACAGCGTAAGATCCACTTTATCCCACGGGAAACCTTTAATCACCTCGGGAACCTCCTTTATTAGCGGACCCACCAGACTCGTGCGTTTACCGTAAACACGCAAGCGACCTGCACACCGCAGCGTGCAATTACGCGCTGTACACGTTGGGCATCGATCAATTCAGATTCTCCCTTTGACCGATCAGGATTCACGTTAGAGGAAAGTTAAATGTAAAATGTCACGGTGAAATCAGACTTTGATCAATATTTTATAAATATTCCATAATTATTAGTCGTTGCCCGTCAAACAGAAGCTCTTAATTAAAATTTAATCAAAATATCATTTAATGTATATTTCTTGTGACGGGAGCAATTTACTTTCATCGGATTTGCCGCTTTGATCAATTTTCAAATTTTAATAAAGAACCTGCACGCATGTTTAATGATTTAATGGTTTAATAGCAACACTTTAATAATTTAATAGTAACACAGTTAACGCGTTTGATAGTCCATTGTTGATTCTGTCGACGATCGAATGCTCGAATCCAAGCGTGAATCGCGATTGATAGAAGGAACGGTGAGAATATTTTACTCTCGCGAAGTATTCGCTTTCCGTTCTATGGAGGTCCTTTAATAGACGGAATAAATTCTTCTGCTTTTAGTAAAATGAATTCCGAAGATGGTTAGATATTTGTGTAAACAGCCACGGGCCCGTTATTATTCGCTACCTCGATCGAACAATCGGGAAGTAGCGATCTTCCTTCCAGGAAACTTCGCGCGTCCAAATAGAAGCTTTTACTCTTCCACGGAACTTGAACGTTTTATGGAGTCGGGCTTATCAGAGATCGGGATATAAATTGATTCCCCCTAGAACGATTCCGGACTAGCAAGTTCCGTATCGTTACGTCCCGTATGGCGGCTAATCGTTTTCGTCTGAACCGTTTGCTCTGCAGATCGAAGACGCGATGGGAAGCTCGTGGCAGTGGATTTATTTTATTTCTATGGTCATACTCGGAGCTTTCTTCGTGATGAATCTGATTCTCGGTGTGTTGTCCGGGTAAGTATAACAGTTCATAAAATTCTTACAAACGGTGATTCAATTGCTGTTAATCCTTTAGTTCCCGGTAGTATCGCCAGAAAACCATGTATTTCAATGTCAGTAAAATGCGAACCAGTGGACTAGTCGCGGAGTCATTAGTGTAAAATTGATACAGTAATCGTCATCTGTATTTTTAACAGTTAGAATCCCATTTTGTGTACAAATATTTATTCGCATAAAAACGATAAGTTGGTTCATGTATGTTGCAGAAAGAAATGTATTTTTCTTAAAACTTTTTACTCGGGACCTAAAGGGTTAATTCTATATGCAACGAATCGACTGCCGAACTTTATGGAAATTATAATTTTCATAGATAACTTCATAAAAACCATCATAAGGAACAATTCATTTCGTCGACTGGTGGTAAAAATACTTTAACGGTGTCATTAGTGTTCATCAATGCAAATGCTTAATTGTATTTTACGAATTTGTGAACATCATAGGTGGATAAGTGTATAACTTGACTGTTTATTTTCAATGCATTTGTTTTGAAGTTCCTCACAGTGGAATGATATAACAGTAGAACATACTGGCTTTGTATGATTAATAAATTTTTGTATTCAGAAATGTTGACACAACGTCAACGCATAGAGAGTTCAGACGCAGGCTTCACAAAAATTTTCCATTCCCCGTGGAAACACGGTTCCCTCCTCGACGGCGAAAGAATTCGATAATATCGACGCGTACGACGTCTCTTGCTTCTCCTGGAGGGATCCAAATATAATATCCCTTTCTCTCGCTGTTCCGATACGAGGATAAACGAGAACGCATGAACAGAGACACGTGTATCGAGTCGTGAACCGGGTCTTTGCGTTTCTGCCTCTCGGAAAATTCACCTAGCCGCACGGTACGTTTCGAAAATACATACCAACGCCGAGCATAAAGCTTTGGTCGAAGCCCTTCGTGTTGAGAGTTGGGAAAACGGAATTTCTTCTAACGGTCACTAATTTTTTACCACAGACAGAAATATAAAAGATAAATTACACGGTGATCCTGTTCAAAGTTGTTCTGCTTAACGCTGTTTTCGTATAAAGGGAATTCTCTCGAGTTCTATGTTTTTCGTTGATTTACTTTAGCATAGTTATACTCGTGTACTGTATAAAATAAATAAAATTTACTTGTTATATAACATCTTGTTATGAAATAAAATTTTAAAAATGGTATATAAATTTTGATTCGCTGTTCCGTTTCGTCTGTCTGCATTATTTACGTGTTAAGATGAGCTCCTTGACTGTACATAGATGAATTATATAGAAATGATGTGTAATATTTGAAAAGATCAGGCATTTTGTTTTCAACGAATCGCAACAATTCCGTTCACGACCTAAAGCATCGCGATCGAAATAATTATCTAGATCAACTCGCCTAATATCCCGCGTATTTTTACGTTTCCATTCTTCGACGCGATAAGGCAATCGATGGGGGAGTTGAACGCGCTCAAGCAACGCACAATCGATGAATGCGAGCAAAGAGAAAATAGGGCAGGAAGTTTTGAACAAAGTTGCCGGTTCGATTCGTGTCTCGGAAGTAGAAGTTCCACGCTGCTTTCTAGGGTGGTTATTTATTTAACCTTGCGTTGGAAAAATATCCCGACGGAACTGTTCACAAAAAGGAGGGGAAATAGAAGGAAATGTAAAATGTAAATAACGCTACGATGATATCCTGTTATGCAGGATGTTTTGGAAAATCATAATGTCTCCTGGATGCACGTAAAATGAAATTTCCTCTTGCAAATATCCATTCTCTGGAAAATAGACTTCGTTAAAGTTAAGTGGAAAGGTGAATCGCATTACAGGACAGACATGTGAGCCGAGTTCTATTCAATATCACGTGTACTCATTGAATATTCTCATTAAATATTCCGAGAAACGGTAAAACTTCATCCTACGTTCTTTACTTCATCTTTGAAGATGCTCTTTTTTTTAGACGAGATAGCATAATAATATTTTTTTGTTGAGATAACTACTATCGAATTTTACCGAGACAATATAGACCTTTCTTGAAAATCGAAACATTGGAAATCCTCGATATTACATATTGGGCTGATGCAAAAGCTTTGACGTTTTTTTTATAAGAAATAAGAAGAAGAGTTCTCAATTGTTTGCTGGCTAAACTAAAACTAAGTGAGAACAAAGGAAGAAGTGTCCTTTATACGAATTATAATAGTGTAAAAACAGACGTTATTTTTTCGGAAGAACGAAATTTACTTGTTAACCACGTAGAAAAAACGTCAAAACTTTTGCATCAACCCAATGCATTTGAATAATGGTTTGCTCATCCTGTGTAATCGTGCAGAGAGTTCTCGAAAGAGAGGGAGAAAGCTAAGGCGAGGGGCGACTTCCATAAACTCAGGGAGAAACAACAGATCGAGGACGACTTGAAGGGCTACCTAGACTGGATCACTCAGGCCGAGGACATCGAGCCAGAAACCGACGAGCCGAAAATGCAGGATGGGAAATGTAAGGATAGCGTCGATCGCAATTGCCACTGGAGCAATGCTAGGTGAAATCGAACGAAATTATTCTTTCAGCGAAGCAGCAGAACGAGATGGAGAGCACGGATCAGTTGGAGGGCGATGAGAAAGGGATTCAGCAGGATTCCGTTTGGAGAAGGAAAAAGCGAGACTTCGATAGGTAAGGATATCGTTCTTTCAAAAAGGGAATACCTTTTAGCATTTAATATTAAGCCGACTGAGAACCTTTGTTTTTTTTATTCTAATGGTACGTTTGAATTATGATAAATTAATGAATAGCTACATGAAGATGAATAAATGTACTTGAAGATGACAGAAGTTTTTGGCACAAAGTGCTAATACTCATTTCTGGTGATTTTTCCCTTTTCAGATATTGATTATAGTATTTGAATGAAACTATATATTTTTTTAAATCGTTTCGAATAATTAATAGTTTTAGGATATCAATAAGTAGTATCAGTCATTTTGGCTATTACAATCATATTACTCTGAGTATCTGGTTCACTAGGATATGATCGAACGATTTTGCAATGGAAATTTACAGGGTGAACAGGAGAATGAGGAGAGCCTGTAGGAAAGCCGTCAAGTCGCAGGTTTTCTATTGGCTGATCATAGTGCTGGTTTTCTTAAACACCGGGGTTCTGGCTACCGAGCACTACAATCAGCCGCATTGGTTGGACGACTTTCAAGGTACGCCATTCGAACGATATTCCCCATAAAACCATCATTTTTCTATGTTCATCCTATCATTCGCTTTCGTTTCTTTCTTACACAGAAATCACGAACATGTTCTTCATCGCTCTGTTCTCCATGGAGATGATGCTGAAGATGTACAGTTTAGGATTTCAAGTAAGTCCCCTCATCTTCATTCATCATTCGTCAGAAATACAGAATTGAACAGTTTCTCGTAACGACAATCACTAAACTGCGAATATTTATCTGTATGCAAATTACAAAGACCTTCGCTGGACGCCACTGATCTTCATTATTTTCTGTATTACTTCCAACATACGCAAAATTACCGATACAAAAAGTTAATCTGTATCTTACCAGAGTTTCTCGGGTCCTTCTTGTAAAAATCGAAAATTCGCAGTTTAGCGGTTATCTTGAATGTAACCAAAGAAACGTTTCACTAATCGCGAACCGCGTGTTATTGTCCAGGGTTACTTCGTCTCGTTGTTCAATCGTTTCGACTGTTTCGTTGTGATCGGCTCGATCACCGAGATGATTCTGACGAACACGCAGGTGATGCCGCCGCTCGGCGTTTCTGTTCTACGTTGCGTCCGGTTGCTCAGGGTATTCAAAGTGACGAAGTAAGTGTCTCCCATGCGGGTCGCTCGTAAAAAACGGCAGTGAAACGCGGGGCATCGCTAACCGTGCGCGACGATTTTCAGATATTGGAGGTCGCTGTCGAACCTAGTGGCGTCTCTGTTGAATTCGATCCAATCGATCGCGTCTCTGTTGCTTCTACTCTTCCTCTTCATCGTGATATTTGCCCTCCTCGGCATGCAGGTACTGTTCCCATCTCCTATCACTCTCCCCGAGTCGATTTATCGTCGCTGCCAAGTTCGGTTTGTTCGCAGGTGTTCGGCGGAAAGTTCAACTTCAGTGAGATGCAGGACAAACCCCGCCACAACTTCGACAGCTTCTGGCAGAGCCTGTTGACCGTCTTTCAGGTAATTGTCTTCGGTGCTGATCATCCGTCTTGTCTCTTGTATAGCGGTGAACATTTACCAACATGGTAAACACACCATCGACAGAGCGATTAACGGAATAATCTTCGATGTTTCGTGATCATGATTATTATGGTTATTTTACTGATTATATATTATATATATAATACAAAATTTTATTATAGAATAATAGGTATTACACATATAATAGAATTTTTTACATCACTAGAATAATATAATAATCAATGGAATATTACACACCATCAATAGAATAATTAATACAATAATTATATAATATTTTATTAATGGCTGTTCTACGTATTGCACTGGAAATCACTGATTACATGAATATATTCATGAATCACCGTTGAAAATGATAAAAATATAGTCAACATTGATCCAAAATAGATTTCGATACTTCCAATTCCCGTTGATTCGTTTAGCTTCTTTTAATGTTAATTCATGATCGCTTTGATCCGATCCGCAGATACTAACCGGCGAGGACTGGAACGCCGTGATGTACGACGGGATCAGAGCGTACGGGGGTGTAGCGAGCTTTGGGATGCTCGCGTGTTTTTACTTCATCATTCTCTTTATATGCGGTAACTGTATCCTTTTCACTTGGCGAGCCTACAAAACCGTGGGGAATCCTCCCTTACGCGTGCACCCACGGCGCACCCTACGGAAACGAATTCAAATAGATTCAGTTGATGCGGCATTAAAGACCCTCGATGATCCTCGGTGCTCTCACGGTAAATGATCCTTAACGTAAGAAGCAACGCAGATATCCTACTGAACGTCTTCTTGGCTATCGCTGTCGACAATCTCGCGGATGCCGAGTCGTTAACTGCCATCGAGAAAGAAGCCGAGGAGGAGGTGAGTGTTCCCTTTTATCTCATCTTTGAATTTATTTTACGTGTTCTTCTTACCTTTTTTGAGAGCCGCCGCCTATTAGGGCAGCAGAACTTTATTATTCTTCGGTTTTATAGCGATGAAAAAGGACATCCACACACAGAGACACACACCCTACAGCGTTTTATCGTTCACGTTTTACTACCCTCTCTCTCCTTTTCTACTTCCCTTAGCCATTGTCATACTCACACGTTTTTTTTATCAGTGACTATACCTCCGACCTTTACGCAACTTTTCTAATTATTTTCATTCTTCCCGTACAACTAACCTTTTCATCCCCTAACATTCGATTAGGATTATTTCTCTACCTAACCTCGCGCAAGTCCTCCCTTAATACAGTTGCCCTTATACGATGTACACCTACATGTTGTAATGCACTTAGCCTCTTCCACTTACATCCAGCAGTTTCATTTTCTGTATTCTTTACCTAGAATATCCTTCGTGTTTTTTACCCTTTCCTTATCAACCGCTCAACCTTTGACCGACTTGTCTCACTTACTCTTCGTTCAGTTGAATGACTTTCCATCACGAAGAACTCACGTGAATTTAGTGAAAAAGAAATAATAAAGATCTCAAATCAATGATACTGCAACGAATTACAATGGATAAAAAGTAAATATAATCTTGCAGTAAATAAATAAAAAAAACGAAACTCCAAATCTAGGACAAGGATACGATCGTTAACTCGTCTTCTATTATCAGACAATACTCTTCAGTCCATTTCCTTCGTCTGATCCACAAACTTCATCGCTCCTTCTCTCACTTTAAAAGACACCCTATTCCAAACCCGACTTTACGTTACGCGAGTCCATTACCATCGATCGCCTTATCGGTAACGCCGGATCGAAGGCAAGCTCCGGAAGAGAATGAAACGGAACGTGACGCGCGGCCGCTTCGATAAACATTCGGCCGCCGCGTTTACACAGGGTCTAGCGGTGAGACGAGAACCGGGAAAATTAGAATGCAGGTCGTTTTATCGTCCCGTCAAAGAGTCCTCGAATAGGGGGCTCGTTTGCCTCCGGCCGTAATGACCGTCGCCGGCGGCGACGCCAACGCCGACGCCGACGCCGACGCCGACGCCGACGCTGACGCTGACGCCGAGACCGACTTTTTATTGCTCGTTATGTTGGGTCTGAATCTTCGGCGAATATTCGACGCGTCCGCGTAATTATTGGCGCGGATCTAGGCCGCAGGCTTGGAGATCAGGCTATCATTCGGACGTTTTTGCGGGTCTTTCTCTAATTCGACGCCGTTTAACCCTTCACACTTGATAGGTGACTCTAGGTCAGCACTTGATGTGAAAATTATACAGTTTAACATTTAATATGAACACTAGATTTACGGACACTTATTCTACATTTCATTCTATCGTTCCTAGAAGACTACATGTTTTTTTATATAGGTCGCGGAAATTAGTGTTTCAAGAACAAAGAATTATAAAGTGTATTTGCATAATAACATTCGTCAAAATCGACTTAAACTGTCACCAAATAGTGTTTTAAAAATGTAATATCTCAAATTGACAGGTTCTATAAATTTATTGTTACATATTGTATAATGCTATGCGAAATCTTGAAATGCAATAACTTTATTATTTAATTTATGTGTGAATTATTGTTAAGATAGTTTCAAGAAATATCGTTTATATCTTATTAGAAAATGTGGAATATTTCTGATGGAAAACTCTGGAATGCAAGGGATTAGTGATAAGGAAAAGTGTTTGGAAGTTTAAAGGTAGTTTCTGTATTTTAGATAAACAAAGAAAGTTTTCACAAACTTGAATCGCGAAATTAATATTAATGTTGCGTTGAATGTCTATTAGCTATGCACTACAAAAATAATAGATTTCAATTTCTCTCGAATTGTGATTAAATATGCACAACAGTAAGAAAATCATCGGTCTAGTGATAACTTTTTAGGTGAAATTATTAAACACTTTTTACCCGGAATGGTCGGTCGTATCGATCGATACATTACACAATAAACCACTCCGTTTAGAAAGATCACGGTTGACTATAAAATCTCATACTGGGCTGACCTTTAGTTAACATTCTTCTACGGTTACGTGTGTCTGTTGGCGTGACGTAACTTTGTTCTAACTGTGAATAATGGAAGCGTACAGGGCTTCCCGTTTAACCCTTTGAGGACGAGACTCGGAAATCTAGAATAAAAAACTACAAACAGTGTAATCACCAACGCAACAAAAAACCAATGCATAGTTCTCTTTTCCATTTAAGAATTCGCTGAACAATTTACCTTTTAACGAAGAGAAGTTTTTAACGCTTCGACCAATGGGTTTTTAACACTTTGAAGAATCCTCGCCTCGCAAAGGGTTAAACGATCCACCTTGCAGATGTTTGAACAGTTACCGTATCTTCTCGCAGGAAGTCACCGTGTGGTATGTTACAAAGTAATTCGACCACTCCGACGACTATCGCTGTGGCGTCTCAGTTTCGCAGATCGCTTAGATTCCAACCGTTCCGTCTACAAAGGGTTGAAAGCCCGCAGCGATCCGGAAATCTAGGTTTACAAGCTTGAATCCTTAATGCAGATGCGAAACGCTGAGGCGGACCGTTTCGCAATGAACGGAATCGGGCTGGTGTTTCAGTTCATTTATTTATCTCGATGTTCGCGTGGAAGAAAATAGTCGCGTCTCGCATCGTCACGAGAACGTGGAGACGTCGCGGATACCTAAAGACAGACATACTTGGACGGCGACCTCTTTTAATCAGGTCGTTAATAAACAAGGCACGCGGGGCCATCTTCGTTTTAATGAAACGGGTCAGATGTGGTATCCTGGATACGTGGAATAGTGTCCTCGCAGCCTTCGCGTCGCAAAATCGGAGTAATAATTTGTTCTTTATACGTAACAGTCCACCCTTCGCACTCGACAAATTTTGTCACTGTAAATATGCTTGATTTTGCAATGAAATATCAATGACTTTAAAGATTAATGGAATTATTTTTATTCGCGTTCTTTATAAGTGCAACAATTAACCCTTTGCACTGGATGAATTTTGTCACTGTAAATATACATCAGTTTGCAATGAAATATGGACGACGTTGAAGATTAACACAATTGTTTTTAATTATTTTAGTAGAATTATTCATTATTATCCTTTAATTCAGTATTCTTCTGTGATAAGCTTTTCTTAATCCAATGTACATTTCAAGATTAAATATATTCTAGTAAATACGTCAGATTTTCATGAGAAATACGAATTTATTTGATAACAGTGTATTAATCGTATAATGAAAGCGCTGGTTTTTCAAGTGGAAGTAAAATACCAATGCTGCCACGATGAGTTTCTTAAAAAATAACATCCGAAGTAGAAGAAGCAAGCGAGACTGCTTAAGAAAACTCGAAGAAAGTGTATTATAATAATAAAGATCGTGGTTGCGGGGTTTCGAGCGCAAAAACTGATCAGAGAAAGAACACGTGCAAAGAATGGGGGAAACACGCAGAGAGAAAGCTTCGGAAAAGCAAACGACAGAGTGTCGAGTAGCGCCGGCATTTTTTAAACAATTCCGCGGTAGAGTCCCGTTGCACGTGGATCGGTCCGACTTTGTCATATGGTTTGACCTTTGTGCTGTAAGCCATTTTCATGGTACCCTTAGTGACAAATGAAAAGTGTAAAGTTTTAATATTACACTCTTAGATTCTTCGTCTTCTTCGTCACGACAAGCTACACGTGTATTTCATGTATGCAATAACCTTAGGATAGTATTGTTCACCTTTCTTCACTGAAATATTTAATATTACAAGTAGCATATTGCAATAATAGCGTAACCAATGAAGTTACATAACAAAACTCGTCTGTCTCCGTAGTGAAATCTACGGAGTGCGAAAGGTTAACCCTTTGCACTTGAATCCCGGTGTAATGGCGACTCCGAACTTCCACATCTGAAATCGAAAGCTACAAATAAATCGTTTCATTATTCAGATAACGAGAGATTAACACGCGGATCTCTTCTTTCCAAGTATTTAAAACGTCGATGCATTTCCAGTTCCTCACGCGAAGAGTTTCTAAAAATGTTAATCCCTTTCAGACGCGTGTCGACGTGTACGTGGTTATCTACCGTCCAGAGCAAGCTTCTGTTAGCCAGTTACTGAAATTCTCAGGCATTGAAACTCCCAAGCATATTGCTTCTATGTGAACAAATTTTCGATACATTCGTAATTTCACTATAAATGAATAATGATATAAAAATTGCTGTCTCGTCTGCGAAGGGTTAACAAATATGGCCGAATATGCTCAAAAAACTATAGAAAATAGTAAGGCACGCACGCAGCATCGAGGGCATCGCAATCGAATACCGATACACCGGAATTAAAAGCTGTTATCGGGTAGCGGGTATCCGCCGCGTCATTGCCGGCCCCCACCCCCGATCACGTCCCCCGTCCGCGTTTCCCTATTTTCCCTTGTGTACACGGCCTTTATATATATTTTTTTTCCTTCTTTATTCGTAATGTTTCGTAACGAACGACTATAAATACGGCGCGAGCCAGCCGGAGCGTGAAGCCTCCGCAACAAGGGTGGAGAAAAGAGGTCCCCGGCTGGAACAATAGACCCCAACAGTCGACCCGACCCCGCGGTTGGTATCGGCCGCGCGCGTTGCCGCGTAGCTTAACGCTAAAAGCTTAATCGTTCGTGATTCGTCGATAAGCTAATGAAAAATCGTTAGCCCCCGAGGCGTTAACCCGAGGCGAGGGCACGCTTCGCCGCGGAGCGCGGAATTCGACGGGGCACTCGCGCTTTAAATAGGAGACCGAGATCAACACCCGGGGACCGGTGAACCGATTCGATGGGGAATTGATGCGGGAAAGAGATGGAGACGTTGACTGGAGACTGGGGTTTCTAGACGGCCGAAGGGAAACGTCCTTCAACCAGGGGTTGAAATAACGTCGGTTCCGGTTCTTGAAACAGTTCTGGAGAACTGAAATAGAATCATAGCTGTTGTTAGGTATATTGGTTCTGAGCTGTACCGGTTTCGGTTCCGGTTTCTTCAGAATCGATACAGTACCGATATGTAACGGTTTCAAACAATTATTTTTCCTTTTCAATCTCTATTGAAAAAAACAAAGGTTAAAAGCGGAGGACTGTGATCTTAGTCATAGGTGTCTGGATGTGACTACATGTTTCTAAACTTGAGAAACGACTGTCGCGAGCAAAGTTAATTTATATTGATAATCTAATTCAGTGTGGGATATTGATACGAATTCTATGTAGATCTTTGGACGCATATGTCAATCTTTGATTTTGTCTTGTTTTTCTTCGAAAGTTGATTTGCGGTAGTTACTGCTTAACGACATTGGTGGGGTTGAGATCAAATAATTTTCTCTGGAATAGTTGAATATTCGTTGAACGAAGTTTCTGTAGGAATTGTAAAGGCCTTTTTAATCTGATATTCAAAGATACATGAAGTTACTGAATGTTCCCCAGGCTGAGAAGAACAAATCCCACAGTGCCTCACCAGCCAGAGACGAAGGCAGCGTGGACCATGGTGACGATGGTGAGGGGACTGGTGGCGAAGACGAAGGCGGTGGGACCGATCTCGAGCACGATCCCAACGAAACGATGGAGGACTATGAAGCAGCTTTGGACACGGAAACGTAAGTGTCTAAATATCGAATCACTGCGTTTTATAAATATATTCGTGATAACATATTACTTTTTACTATTTACAATTTCATTTATTAATCTTATTCATTAAATTAAATACTATACTTATTATTCTTGTATTCATTGTATTTTAATGAAATCCGTTTCCGAATTTGCAGGTCGGAGAAAAGCGAGGACATGAACACTCATGCGAAAGTAAGACTGAACATCGAGTCCGACGAAGAGGTCGAGGAGGAGGAGGAGGTCGAGATCAACGAGATGCATGGTATTATCTTTTTTCCTCAAATTTGTAATAAAACGAAGTATAATGAAATAGTGCCCACTGTAAACAAGAGAAAAACATTTTTCTACAGACGACGGTACAGAGCAAGGAGTATCGGCGAGGCCGCGCAGGATGTCCGAGTTCAACATGGCTACCAAGATGCAACCGATCCCTCCTGGCTCGGCTTTTTTCATTTTCTCGCAAACTAACAGGTAAGTATAATAAGAAATGCCTTTCTCATTATGTATAGAATATTAATTACTAAATTGAACTTAGGTTTCGAGTGTTCTGCCATTGGCTTTGTAATCACAGTTACTTCGGCAACGTGATACTCGTGTGTATCATGATATCTTCGGCCATGTTGGCGGCCGAGGATCCTTTGAAAGCATCGTCGTATAGGAATCAGGTACAACGACATTCGTTCAGCTGACAAAATCACCGGAAACTCCGCCGACTAACACACGTGTCCTCTCTTTCTGTCGCAGATATTACTGAATTTCGACTATTTTTTCACCACAGTGTTTACAATCGAGATCTGGCTGAAGATGATCTCCTACGGTTTTATCATACACGACGGCGCGTTCTGTCGGTCGGCGTTCAATCTGCTCGACCTGTTGGTCGTCTGCTCGTCTCTGATTTCGATGTCTTTCAGGTAATCCCCTATACATCATTACACCTAAACAAAATTCGATCATGAAAAATATTCGCATCAGTTAAAAAATACATTTATACGTTTAATTGTTTCGTAAGGAACTTTATATAAAACATGTAGTATGTATTAATGAAGTTTTATTCATCTTAGCTTTACATATATACAATGGTTTTGCATAGTAACAATTTTATCTGCATGCCATATCCTTTTGCATAAAATTATTCTACAAAAATCTCCATGTACAACTGATTCGATGAAGTAGTACTAATCTTGTAAAATATACTTATTCAATGCAATAAGTTCACGAAACATACAAGATCTTTTCCTGAGTAAATATATTTTCGGTGTAATGTTTCAGTTCCGGCGCGTTCTCCGTGGTGAAAGTCCTTCGAGTGTTGCGCGTGCTGAGGCCGCTGCGCGCCATCAATCGTGCCAAGGGATTAAAGGTATTTTTCTTCGCGTATTACCTTCACGAACAAACGAATTTTCTACGGTAAAATTTGCTAAAGATCGGTCCCATGGTACAGCACACCCGGAAGTATTTAGACGCGCGAGTAAACGCTTCGAGCCAAAGTAAATTTCCTAGTGTTTCGATGCAGCTATTGAGTCGCGTCTCTATCCAGTATACATTTCGAACGGCTAGCGAATATGTATTTACCTTTAATTGTTTCAATTTCCACGGTAGACTGGCCACTTCTGAGAATCGGGGGCGATAATCGTTCCCTGGGTTCGCTTAAACGAAACCTGTGTAGTATTCTCGAGACACGCGTCGAACAGCAAACATCTCGTGGAGGGATCCTCGAAATTGTCAGTTTACTATTTATACTTCCAGCGACAAAATGCAGGGGTATCTGAGAACTTCTAGCATTTCCTTAAAGCAGTGAAACATTTAGAAGTTCTGTTTTTATAAGAAAGTCTACAGTTTGTGTCTCTAATAATATCGTGGTATCTTATTACCTGATAGCTATAGTAATAAAATACTATTAAATAAGTAATATCTTACTACTATAAGTAATTACCAAATCGGATATTTGAATCGTTCAAATAAAAGTTGAGAAATCAAGCAGCATTATCGAAAATTAGAATTAAAGGTCCTAGAGGAACAAGGAAAACTTATAGGTTACTAATGTCAACAACGAAATTCGTTCCCCACTAAAACTCTGATTTCTACCTACATATCCTACCATTTTGTCGCGTTTAAGTTCTACGTGGGCCATTCAAATCGCGAAGAAACAAGTTGCACAAGCGAATGTGCATAGCGTAACTTTTCCAAAATATCCAACTTTCACCGAGAAGTTTGCTGCGCGACGCGGCAAGTAGTGCCAGAACGGGAACAATCGATCTAACAGTACGAAAGCTAAAAGAAACGGAACAACGTACGATTAAAGAGCGGAGATAGGAAAATAAGACAAACAAGAGGCAGCCGACGTGATAACAATAAAACAAGCGTGATAAGTCACCCGTAATCCCGTTTCCAATGGAACGGATCTACATTATGATTAATGTTGAACCCAGCACGTAGTACAGTGCGTCATCGTAGCGGTAAAGACTATCGGAAACATAGTCCTCGTCACCAGCCTCCTGCAGTTCGTGTTCGCCGTCATTGGCGTACAACTGTTCAAGGTAGGAACGCCAGGCCCT